ATAATATCTAAGAAGTTTTCTTCTAGTTCCTCTTCCAAAATTTTCTCAATGCTTTCCCTATCCCTCTCATATGCTAGAATTCCAGTCATATGTATGTTATTCCTTTTGATGTCATCCCATATGTTTCTAATGTTTCCTTCATTTTCTTTATGTCTGATCTCTGATTTTTGTTCTAATATGTTTCTGTTGAAGTTCTTGTCTTCCAGCTTCCTGATTCCCTGCTCCATCTCATCTGTTCTACTTTTTTATCCTTCAGGTCTTTAAGTCTTAATATACTGGATTACATTTTCTTGCCTTTCTGTTATTTCTAGTGCTGTGTTGGCAGTATCCTCTCTATCTTGTGATGATTTTTTACATTCTTATACCTCTTTATCTAGAGTTTCAATTCTTTCTTAGATATTCTGCATTTTCTTCCATATTTGTGCAAGTTCCTCCTCATTAGTATTTTTATTCTGGTTCCATGTCTTTGGATTGTTTGCTTTCTAAGTGGTTTCCATGTATTTTTTCCATCATTTGCACCTTCTTTCATAGCTGTTCAAATAACTCTTTATTTATTTTTTTTTCCTGGTTCTCTACCTCCTTGGTATTCCCTTTATTTGCTTCCATGGTTTTTCCCATCATTTGTTCTTTCATTTGTAGCTGAGTGTCTCCATATCAACATATATCATCTGCCTTCTTGACTCTAGGGTATTCATGAGATCTCTAATATTCTCTTCTTTCTCTTGTTTTTGTTTTTTTTGTTTGTTTGGTTGGTTTTGAGAAGGCTTAATTTGTTTTTCCATGTTTGGAGCTGCCTACTGCTTTCTTAATATTATGTTAAGTTTTTCTTGGTAAGTGTTAGATCGTTTTTATTGAGTCTGCAAAAGTGGTGGTTCTTGTCTTCGTAATGCTACTAATTAGTTGCCAGATTAAAATGTTCCGTCTATGGGGTGAGCTACTCACTCTACTGTAGATCCTTTCTGGGGTCCTTTCTTAAAGTCCCTGAGGTTCTCTCTGTTCTGCACTGCAGCTCTGTAGGAATCTAGCCTTGATATAGTCCCCTGACACCAATTCTACAGGTCTCCTTCATGTATGAAGTGGCTGAGTGGTGTGAGGCCAGGTGCTCTACTCAGGCAGGTTCTTATGCACCTTTTCTTCTGGAGCTTAATGTCTTCTTTTGTCTCTGGAATAGCAGGGTATTAGAAATGAGGGCTGAGTGTGGAAACTACAGAACAGTGTCATTGATTTCACATGCAAGCAAGATTCTACTGAAGATTATCCAAAAACGATTACAACAGCACATCAGCAGAGAACTGCTGGAAGTCCAGGCTGGGTTTAGAAGGGGTCGTGGTACTAGGGATATTGCTGCTGATGTTAGATGGATCTTGGCTGAAAGCAGAGAATACCAGAGGAATGTCTTTGACTATGCAAATGCATTTGACTGTGTAGATCATAACAAACTGTGGCTGACCCTGAGAAGAATGGGAATCCCAGAACATTTAATTGTGCTAATACTTGGACCAAGAGGCAGTAGTCAGAACAGAGCAGGGTAACACTGCATGGTTCAAAATTGGGAAGGGTGTACGCCAGCGATGCATCCTGTCTCCATACCTTTTCAACATGTATGCAGAGCAGATTATCCGAGAGGCTGGGCTCTATGAGGAGAATTGTGGCATCAGGATTGGTGGAAGATCTATTAAACAATCTGCGTTATGCAGATAACACAACCCTGCTTGCTGAAACTGAGGAGGACCTCATACACTTGCTGCAAAAGGTCAAGGACTGCAGCCTTCAGTATGGACTGAGGCTCAATGTCAAGAAGACAAAGATTCTCACCACTGGACCAATTGGCAGCGTCAGGATGGATGACGAAGAGATTGAGATTGTTCACAGCTTCAGTTTGCTTGGCTCCACAGTCAACACTCTTGGCACCAGCAGTCAGGAAATCAAAAAGTGTATCGCGATGGGAAAGTCTGCTGTTAGGGACCTCTCTAAAGTACTGAGGAGCAACGGTGTCTCTCTGGAGACTAAGGTGCGCCTGATAAAGGCCATGGTCTTTGCAATCGCTTGTTATGCATCAGAGAGTTGGACAACGACTAGGGAGGACAGAAGGAGAGTGGATGCTTTTGAGCTGTGGTGCTGGAGAAGAGTACTGAATGTACCATGGACTGCCAGGAAAACAAACAGATTCATCTTGGAGAGGATTAAACCAAGCTACTCCTTGGAGGCAAGGATTCTGGGGCTTTGTCTGACATACTTTGGACATGTTGCCAGGAGGGACAGGTCCTTGGAGAGGGACATCATGCTTGGGAGGGTGGAGGGACAGCGCAGGAGGGGAAGACCCTCTATGAGATGGATTGATTCGGTGACTGGGGTAATCGGGATGGGTGTGTCAGAGGCGGTGCAGTTGGCGCAGGATAGAGCAGGGTTTAGGGTTGTTGTGCATAGGGTCGCTATGAGTCAGAAACGACTCGACGGCACATAACAACAACAACAAGCTTAAGCAGCTTTTGTGCAGTGGGCTTCAAGTCAGCCCTGTCTCACAGAGAGCCAAGAAAACTCTTTCCTCTGCTTGAAGTTCTGTATACTAATGTCTCTTGTACTGTTTGGCCTCTGGGATGACCTTGCAGCCACGAAGGCAAGGACACCCAGATAGAGGGACCTATGATGATGCCATTTTACATGTGTTTTCTAGTTATTCATAAAGACAAATTATTTACAAAGTAGAATATTAAGATAGAAATAATACTCTTAATATAATGCAATTTTTATATTTTGAAGTTACCTTATAAAATCATTGTTATATAAATTTGTTTAATTTGTATCTTAAGAAAGAAATTATTTTGTTCCATTCCGTTGTGTGAGAACATGCATACTATATTAAATGCTTTGATAAGTGCTGACTCAGAATGCTTAGTTATATTTTAAGTATTTTTCCTCTCTCTAGCTTCCTCAAGGTGTGTGTGTGTATATATATATAATTTGAAAGAGGAAAAGTAGACAGAGTTATGGAAGAGAGCACTAACTTAAGATTGGATTCTAGCCACATTTCTTACTGACTCTATGGCTTGAGTAGAACTTATGAGCCATACTGATAAAATGAGGAATTAGGATTAGACAGACCTAACATTTCCATTTCCTTGGATTATCAAAGAAATCTGAATTGTTCAAAATAGTACAAACCATCTAACTTTGAATTGTTGTTTTAGTGTTTCTTTCTACATTTGCAATTCAGTGACACTGACCACATTTTCAGGTTATGCTATTATTTTTGCTCTCTTTTCCAAATTATTTCTCCCCCCATTAACATAAACTCATTACCACCTAAGATTCCTATTTCTTCAAGTTTCTGTTGTCAGTTTGATCCCATTTAGATAGTTCTTAAAGAACATAGTACTCAAGGCAGAACTTCTTTACTACTTAAGCTAAACTCTTGTTTAGTTTTTAGATGACATCAGGAGATATTATAGGTTTAAGGTTTAAAGATTCTATCAAGGAAATGTTTCAGAAATTCATTCAACTTCAGTGGCTCCAGAAAGTGTAGAATTCATTATGGTAAAAAGTAAATGGGTACTGTTGTTATGTACTCTTGAGTCAACCATACATCATAGCACGCTTGGGACCAGCAGATCTGAATTTTGCTCTATTTGCCACCAATCCAAAGCTCTCTGATATGCTCAAACCCTTTGTTAAGGTCACTGTATTAATCCTTCTTGCTGAGAGTCTTCCTCTCCCAGCACATCTTTATCCAAGGAACATCATGCCCAAAGTTTGTGAGAGAGTTTCACCATTCTTACCTTTAAGGAACACTCAGGTTGCACTTCCTCCAAGATGGACTTGTTTATTCTTTTGACAGTCCATGAAATATTTCCTGCTCTTTTCTAACACAACTCAAAGCCATCTATTCTTCTGTCATCCTTATTCATTGTCTGACTTTTAGCTGAATAAGTAGTACTTGAAAACGCCACAGCTTAGATAAGGTGCACCTTAGTTTTTAGCTGATATCTTTACCGTGTAGCACTTTAGAAAAGCCCTGGACAGCAGATTTTCCCATTGCCACATATCTTTTGATTTCTTGACTGCTGTTTATATGGGTGTTGATTGTGGATCCAAGTAAAATCCACTAACAACTTCAGTTATATATCTGTCTATCATGCTTCCTTTTAGCCCATTGGTGAGGATTTTTGTTTTCTTGATGTTGAGATGTAATCCATACTGAAGGTTATAGTCCTTGATCTTCTGCAGCAAGCACATCCAGTCTTCCTTACTTGGAGCAAGCAAGGTTGTGGCATCTGCATAATGCAGGTTGTTGATGAGTCTTCTTCCAATCCTGATGTGACATTTCTGCTCATCAAGTTTAACTTTTCTAATGATCTCAGATCTGCTTCAAACCTTCACTTCCTGCAAGCAAGGTTGCACAGTCTGCATAATGCAGGTTGTCAATGAATCCTCTTCTAATCCTAATGTCACATTCTTCTTCCTACAGTTCAACTTCTCGAATTCGCTCAGCATACAGATTAAATAGGTGTAGAGAAAGGATACCACCCTGACCCATACTTTGGTTTTATTGTCAGGAAGAGCCAATTACTGGAATAGGACATCATACTTGTAAGGGTGAAGAAGTGTGTCAGTGAAAGAGAAGAAGACCTTTAGACTGACTCAGTGACAAATTTTCAATACAGCAGAGATTTTATGCATAGCGCAAGATTAAGGGAAGGTTTTGTCTTGTTAGTGGGTCACAATGAGTCAGTCGACTCGTTGTATCTAACATCATCGACAACAATTTTTAACCAGTCATAAAAATACCAATAATTATAAGGTGATCAAATAAATTATATGAAGGATTCATACTGTGATAATGTAATGCCTTTAACTCAATTTTAATTATGCAGAAAACATAATTGAATGTTTAGAGATGGATTGATAAAATTTTTGGTTGTTAGAAATATTGTCATAACTGTTAAAAGATGTGTAAAATATTTTATTTTATTTTATCCTAAACTTTTTTTTTTTAATTTCAGGTCCCAGAACAGTTTTTTTCTGGGCTCCTATTATGAAATGGGTAAGTCTGAGTTTCTATAGAAAGTACTGGGAAAAACCAACAACAATAAAAAAATAGTCCTACTCTTTAATGGGAATTAATTCGTGTGAAGTGACATTTAGAATAGATGTGCTGTAAAGTATTGGTATGCTTATAAATTATTTCAGGGCAAATATTCTCAGGTATGTTACTTTTGCCATATAAAGCATACTACCTACTACTTTAATTTTTTTTTTCCACTATGTAGGTAAAAGACCTTCTGGGAATATATTTGTTATTAAAACATTTTTAGGAGCTCTGGTGGCTTATAGATAGTTTTATTACCAGTCCAAAGGCAGCGATTTGAATCTATCTACCTGCTGCTCTGTGGGATAAGGATGAGCAGTTCTCCTCCCATACAGTATCCTCTATCCTGAGTAATATCCTCTGAAAACTGGCTGGAAGGTCAGCTATGGGTTGATTCCAACTCCTTAGCACACAACAACAGTTATAAAAATCCAACTAGGTAAAAATATTACAGCTGAAGTTGGCTATACAAGTTAAATCTCTCTCTGAAATTTTGTGTCTTGGTGGTTTGGGAGTTTTATGAAGAACTAGGGAACAGCTTTTCTCTTTTCATTTCTATGTACTCTATAATTCCATGTAAAATTTTGATGTTAAAAACTTGAGTCCAGCAATTAATGAATGGAAATCCAAAATCTCTATAAATGTTCATTAAAATTAATAAAATAAAAATTTTTAAGAAACTTGAGTTCCATCAGTTTAACAAAAATAAAATAGAGCATCTTAAATGATTCTACTCTCAACATTAAAAAATGTTGTTATTGTTGTTGTTGCTGTCAAGTCAAGCACGACTCATAATGACCTTATAAACAAAAGGCCTGAAGCCTTTCTATAACTATCGTCCTTTATTGAACTCATAGCGTTTCCAGAGGCATGTTGTTTAGGAAGTGAATGCCACTCCTGCTTCCATTTAAAAAAATAAAACATACATGTTGTTGTTGTTGTTGTTGTTGTTGTTGTTGTTGTTGTTGTTAAATGCCATCGAGAAGGAGAGTCCTCGACACTAAAATAAAAATAGTAGGGGAGCTCTGGTGGCCTAGTGGCAAGAAGCTGCACTGCAATCCCAGAGACACATGGTTCGAATCCACCAGATGCTCTGCCGGGAAAGGAGGGACAATCTCCTCCTGTACCAGTCAGATCTGATCTGACGGTACACAGACACATATACACAAAATAATAATAAAATAAAAATAGTGTGATGTAACAAAAACAAACAAAAAAAAAACAACAACCCACAAACCTGTCATGCTAGTAGAAGGTACATAATTAATTTTCTTTTTCTTCTCTCCCTTTCCACACTTAAAATCATAGTAATTGTATATCTCTAAAACAGAATTAATTGCTGAAATGTGGTTCTTAGTTCTAACATTGAGTAATTAGAGGGCTCAGTCTGACTTGGCATTTCCACAGTTTAGAAGTTTTTTTCATTTTCTCAATCATCTTGATGTTTATTTGATCTTGTATATTAGTATTTTGACATCGTGACACAGTATATGTGCTCATAAGGGCCTTCTTGTCAGCCTTCTTTGGAAACATCTATTATAAGCTCATGTTGAAATCCTGCATAGTCTCCTGATGACAACATTGCAGTGGAAACTTTGGTGCCGTGTGTTCTCTGATGAGAAGGCTCCTTCTATATGCACACTTTATGTGCATGTTAAAGTGTTTTCTCAGCCAGAACATTCTATAATTAATCAGCAGTAGCATGTACATGACCCACAAGAGCTGATGCTGTCTTTTGTTCTGTATTAAGGATTTGAGTCTCTATCTTTTCAAACATTGAACTATGATAGAATCTTCTTAGCGCAAATGATTAAGTGCTTGACTCCTTAACTGAAAGGTTGAGGTTTTGAACTCATCAAGAGTCACCTTGAAAGAAAAGCTTGAAATCTGCTGAAAGAACGTTGTTGTTTTTGTTGTTGTTGTTGTTAGGTGCCATGGAGTCAATTATGAACATTGCAACCCTGTGAACAGTAGATCTGAACCTTGCCATATCATATTCCATCCTTACAGTCTCTGACATACTTGAACCCATTGTTATAGTCATCCTGTCATTCCACCTTCTTGAGGGATTTCCTCTCTTTCTCTGACTCTCTGCCTTTCATAGCATGAAGTGTTTTTCCTACGTATAGTCTCTCCTGACAATGGAGCAAAGTACGTGAAAGAGATTTTCACCATCTTTGCCTCGAAGGAAAAACCTGCTTGAACTTAGACAGACTAGCACTACAATTCAAAGGCTTTGATTCTTCTTTCATCCTTATTCATTATCCAACTTTCAGATAAACAGGAAGCATGATCATTGAAAACTAAAATATGGTTCTCTGATTCCTGGGGATGCAGAGTCAGAATCAATTCAGAAGCAGCTCACATGAGTTTTTTTGGTGCTTGTTTGTTTGCTTGGGTGGGGTTTTTTCAGATCTAAGTCACTTTTTTTGCTTTTTTATCTTTAACAATTTATTCATACACAATTACAGAACTGGAAGTCTGTATTCAGGGTAAGGCTTTCTCCTTGTGTCCATTCTGGAGGAAGGCTGTGTCTTCTTTTACTATTTGTAGATCTGGAAATCCAGGGAGATTTCCATGTGTGTTGGCATCAATCTTTTCCCAGATCTAGAAAGTTCATCACACAGAAATCCTGAGACCAAGGGGTGTACTCCATTTCTGGCTCTTCTTACTAATTTTTAGGACCCTAGCCCTTCACCCCACCTTCCATTTCTTCTTTCTCCTTTTATAAGACAAAAGATGATACACTTCACACCCCAGGGAAACAATCCTTACATTGGATCAAGGCTGTATCTAGATTAAGCATGTTACATCCTACTCAAAACATTTCATCAGGGATGAGGACACCGTGGGGTTGCTATGAGTCACCTACAACTACACAGCACTTAACAACAACATCAACATCGAGCTCTGTGGGGCTGGTGAATAGAAAGTTATGCTACCAAGTCAAAGGTGGGTGATTTTAATCTGCAGACCTCAGGCCTGGTTTTAATTGGTTTTGGTCAAACATTCTTCTAAGTGGTATAGCACTGGTCTGTCCATTTGCTGTACAGAGGTAACTCGTGTTTGCTGTGATGCTAAACACTGTGACACTGATATGTCAAATACAATAATGGTTACCCATGGTGGACAGTGTTTGGTGGAGCTCCCTGATTAAAACAACCTTGGAAGCAGGATTGGCATCCACTTCCAAAATAGCTTGCCTCCAGAAACTCAATGAACTCAGAGAAATGATGAAAGTTATACAGTTGTTCAGGTCTTTCATTCACAGGGTCACAGCGAGTTGTCTAGGACTCAAACGCACTTAACAACAACAACAAGACAAAAGATGATACACTTCACACCCCAGGAAAACAAACCTTACACTGGATCAGGGCTGTATCTAAATTAAGCATGTTGCATCCTACTCTAAATGTTTTATCAGGGCTGACAACACCATGGGGGTGCTTGCATCATTACATAACTCCCACGTTATGTCATTAGAATTAGGGCCCAGAAATGTTAGGGGATGTTAATTGGGCTGCAACTCATAGCAACCCTATGAACAACAAATCTGAAACCTGCACTATCCTGCGCCTTCCTTCTCATCTGTGACACACCTGATCCCATTGCGACAGTCACTGGGAAAATCTATCTTATCAAGAATATTCCTCTTTTTTTTAATATCAATGTTTGTTTCCTTTGTACATTATCCTCCCTTCCCCTCCCCAGTCAACTTTTTCATTTTTTTCCCTTTTTTGTTTTGTTGCACATTTTCTTCCCTCATTCCTCTCTTCTCTCCCCTCCCCAGCAGTACACCCCTTGTTCTAGCTTGTTATCATACATATAATGTCTAATCAGATATTTCTTTGAGATAGTTTTTCCTATCTGTTCTACTGTAGTGTTCATTATCTGTCCACTCTTTTCCCATTCTTTGCCCACCCCTGTCTGTCCTGTTTTATAACAGCGGTTTTATTTGTTATTTGTGACTGAGAGCATTCACTCAGCATAATGTTCTCCAGTCTCCCCCATGTTGTGCAGTACTTTATGAGTTCATTGTATTTCAGTGCTGCATAATATTCCATTGTGTGAGTGTACCATTGGTTTTCTATCCATTTTGTTTGTTACTGGGCATTTGTGTTGCTTCTATCTCTTTACTACTGTGAATAATTCAGCAATAAATAAACACTGGTGTCTTCTCAGTCACTGTAGTTGAAACCAGGGAACTAATCATAAAAGTCAAAGTAGATTATTCTCTTTGAAATGCCTACATATTTAAACATTTGCTTTTAAATGAAAGAGTACAGTTAATTTGCCACTTATCTGCAATAAAGTCAAAGGGTTTTTTGTTGGGTTTTTTTTTTTTCATTTATGGGCCCACTGATTTCTAGTCTACATCTTCTGTCCTAGATAAATTATACCATAGTGTCTGTTAGTATGATTTCTACTAGTTTTCTTTAAGAAAGAGCAAGTTTGTGCATAATAAACAGAATGAGTACATTTGCTAGATTTTTTATAATACTTAAACTTCTACCAATCTTGTGTTTATCTTGTTCACACCTCGTTTGACTTATGCTTTAACAACTTCCCTTTCCTGAATCTTTCTAAAGAATTCACTTTTGTATTCACAGAAATCACAGTGTTCTTTTTTGTTTTAAATTCCATCATACTTAATTAAATTATGTAAATTACATTAACAAGTAAAATTGCATTGACAGATTTAGGGACAAATAGTGATTTGGTGAAATTGTAACTCAACTGGTAGAAGTAAAAATGCGTAAACATATCAAATAGAACACTAGCCAAGTGTGGTCAGGCTGCCTCGGGCATCCATTAACTTATTTACACAAGGAATGGAGATCTTTAACCTGAGAGAATAATTATGTGAAGTCAGGTAAGAAAGCTGCTTTTATTTTTGTTTAAAGTCTTTTTTTTTCACTGTGGGAAAAAATTCTCTGCAACATCTCTTACCTAAC